AGGTTTAGATATATATATATATATATATATATATCATCTTATATATTTGCTTTGCTTTCATATTGTTTATATATATTTATGATGCATGCTAGAAGATTCATAAAGGTGGAGTGATTATTTGGGGTCTTAACGTTTTGTAATTTAATACACTTTTGTAAAATTGACAAGTAAAGACACCAGAATTTTTTATTTGAAAAATGCTGAAATGTAAAAAAATCATTGGGTCTAGCCCAATTAGACAATCTACTATGAATTAGTGATTATGCACATGTTCTTGTAGCACAGACAAGAAATGACTACATAATTCATTAAGTTACGAACATTTTTTTTGCACAATGATAGGGAGTGATTACTGCTGAGAATAGTAGTTGGAATTCCGGTACACTATCTTGGAGATGCATTGTGAACAGTGTAATAGATGACGTACTACTTTGCGGGTTCGTTGAATGTTTTATTAAGAAAAAATGCTTAGAGATTGTGCGCGCACACACACGAACGTAGGTCGAGCAAACAAGCAAGTAGGCTGCCACGCACGGGGGTGAGTGTATGTCATATATCTGCAAACTACAGGTTTTTTATAGGAATAATTGTTACATCTTTCCTTCTAGGATCGATACAATGACTCTTAAATTACATATTATTTGACACGTATACTTGTGTTGTGTGACCTAATTATTGTTTCGTTAGATTCTGACACATCAATATCATTATTTATATTTATTATGGAATTAGTTTTTTTATAATAATAAAGTGTTTAGTAAAGTCTTAAAAAGAATTGTTTAGGAGTAATTGAGGACAAATATTTTGATGCACGTGTTGATAATGAAGAGAAGGTTGCATATATCCGTTGGTGTAGAGTTGCTACATAAAATATTTTAGTAATTGTGATTTTAATGTGTTTAACATTCATGATGGATGGATGGGAAATGACTTTTCATGCCAATTATTCAAATTTATAACCAGACACATTGAATATAAATTTTTAATGCCTCTATTTGGTTAGTATATTCGAGACTATATATGGAGCGTTGACTTTCAAGATATGTAGTAATGATTTAATTATTCATGAAAATATTATCCCAAAATTTTTTTGACATGTATACTTATGTTGTGCGGCCTACTTACGTCACAGTAAGTTTTGACACATTAATATCATTATTTCTATTTATTGTGGCGTTAGTATTTTATAGCAATAAAAGGATCTAGAAAATTCTTAAAAAAGATTATATAGGAGCAATTGACGACACATTTTGATTCACATGTTAATGATAAAAATGTTGCATATATCAGATGGTGTAGAGTTGGTACCCAAAATATCTTAGTTTGTGATTTTAATGTGTTTAACATTCATGATGGTTGGATGGAGTTCTCATGCCAAATATTCAAATTTATAACCCGACACTTAATACAAATTTGTAATGTCTCTACCTGGTTAGTTCATTTGAGATTGTATTTGAAGCGTTTAATCTGAGGATATGTAGTAATGATGTTATTATTCAGGAAAATGTTACCTTATTGATTTGAGTTATCCATTGCAACAAGGTTTCTTAAAGTTTTTCCTGACACGAGGAACAACCTTTTTGATTAAGCGAAGCAACATAGTGATTGGAGGGAGGAATGAATTATCAAAATAAAGGCGCTCATCATTATAGAGTATTATAGAGAGAGCATTCGATGTTTGGAAGAGGGAGTGGGTCGTACTTCAAGATATGTTGACATATTTCATTAAAAAATAGGTAATGATAGTTGTTGCAATGATTGTGCAACATAATTTTATACTAAGACATCCATCTTGGGATGATATTATTTTCAATGTCTTAGATGAAGACCCGACATGCATACCTGCTTAAGCATTTGAACACCTGGTTAGAAAATCATTGCCCGATGAAGATTTTGGCACGAATGACTTCAACACATTCAATGTGGAGGGTGTTCAGGAGATGATCCAGTTAAGAGGAGATTACAGGTGCTTTAGTGAACTCATCGAGTGTATTTATGTAGTGTTTTGCAGTGTCTTCTTGTAGATGTTTCATATTCTAAATGTATTGAAGATTTGCAGATGTTTAAATTCTATATTTATGTAGCATTTTGTATTGAATATTTGTTATGTCTACTTTGAATATTTTTTTATTATAATACTAAATATTTTTTCTTGTTCTATTACTTATCTAGTTTATTTTGCAAATTAAAGAAAATGGATTATAATTACAGAAAAAATGAGTTCAAGATCTCAAGTACTCTAGGAACTTTATACTATCACTATGGTATGCAGTGATCTAAGTACACATCAAGAAGAGAAGGAAACTATGAGAGGAGATTTTATTATTGTTTCAAAAATAAGATGCATGAAGATTGCAGATAATTTAATTGGGATGATGATACAGATGAATTTGCTCCAAATATGGATCAAGTGAGGTAAGATACTGTTATAGAAAAATAATTAATTTGAAGACTTGATTGTTTAGACTTGAAAGCGAACGTCATTCTAACGTTGCTAGTTATTTTTGTGATTCTTATTATTGTCGTTTAATAAATAAAATGATTGTTGAAAATATTGACTTTATCAGCTCGATCATACTCTAAATGTGTTTTGATGATAACAAATAAATGTTGGATGATACTAATGCGTTTATTCTAAGTGTATCAGGAAATATTTCAAACCTAGGAAACTCAATCAAACGTGTGGAGTCAAGATCATATGAATTTTGTAGTTTGGCGAAGTGCTTAGAGTATGAGTAGGATATGAAGTGCTCAATATCTTAAACACATTCATATCACTTGCATTGAATCGCTCATTTATTTCATATCTTGATAACCTAATTTTTGAAATTACTCTTAAATAAGTATTTTCTCTGCAAATTAACTAAAATGATAAAAAGTCTATATCTTCAAACATCAATCATATTTTTATCTTATTTTGGGATGTAAGACATGAACATTATTAATAAAATGTTGGGTTGAGTAATCTTTGAATTTTATGTTTAGTTTGAAATATAATATAGGGTAATATTTTTCTCTTTTCTAAATAATCCGAAAATAATTATTTCTTGATAAAAAAGTCTATATCACCATACCACGATCATATTTTTATCTCATTACATTATCATTTTTTATAAAGTAATGGCTTGATTAATTTGTCAATGTTATGCTAAATGTTAAAAATATTATAGCAAAATATCCTCTCCGGAATAATCCAAAAATATTATGTTACATATTTTAACACAAGGGATGTCTTTCATTAAATAAATTATGGAAAATAATTTATAAATAATTAATAATAATTAAAAATAAATTTATATATAATTTTGATTAAATTTTATTGAAACATATGTTTACTAGTCATGCTCGTGTTATCGTTAAACTAATTTGATCAATTGTGAGATACTTATAAGGTTTCACATATTTGTTTATAACTGATTTATTTCTTATTGTTTTGGCCAATATTTTTGCATAATATGGCCTAAGAACATATCTAAGTGTATTAAATATTTTTTAATTATTTTTAGATTTTTTCTCTGTACTTTATTTTCACTCTTTTCTTGAACCAAATCTTGTAAAATATATGTAAATATGACACCTATGTAGAGGAAGAATTTCAATAATTTTTTTCATATTATTTTTGTCAGATTTTGCATAATATGTGGGTCCAAGTACTTATCTAATTGTGTTTAATACTTGGAAATTTGTTTAGATTCTGTCCATATTTTATTTTTGCTCTTTTCTTAAACCAAGGTTTGTAGGATTCAAATATCATCATTTTTTTGGTTGACCAAATTATGTCATAAGTGAAAAAATTATATTAGAAACTTATCTAGTTTCATTCTACTTCATTTCCATGGCTTAATCCATTGAAATCAAGCACACAAAAACCAAAATTAGGCTTGGTTGAACACCAATGCAAAACATGGCTGAAAAATCTGTCCTTAATTTTCTTAATTTTATATTTTCCTCTTTTGAAGCTATCCTTGCACAAATTTATGTCACATTAATGCTCAAAAATAATTTCAAATTTTCTACAAAATTAGCTTAGCTAATATTTACCTTTTCTTGAATAATTTCAAATTCTTTCCTTACTCATCTCCCTCCAAATTTTCTTGGCTTCGCCAAACTTTTAAAAGGTGGTAGAGACCTATTGTTTTACCTTCTTGAGTGCAACTTTCTTGTCATCTGCCTTTGTCTTACAATAACAAGTCCTCCTCAAACAAAACTTCTTTGTTTTGAGAAAGGTTCCAAGCTTCTTATGTGTATAAAAATCTAATTTTCTTTTCTAATGTGTAGAAAATCATGCTTAATTTCTTTTATATTTTACAAATTTTTATGGATGAAATTGCACTTTAAAGAAGGACATTTTTATGGCTTTTTTTGTAGGTACATAACCTGACCCACAGTTACGTAGTTATTTAAGTTTTGAAAGATTGCCAAAAACTTGACCCAATTTATATTCAGCGGCTAGTGTGCAAAATAAATATGATATAAAATTGATTAATGACTTACACACTAGGGGTACTACGCAAGTATACGTATTGTTTCAAGCAATATAGAGTTTTCATTAAAAACTCCACTATCGAACCCATAGGGAAAAAGAAAATTTATATGCTAACTTAGAAATATTTCTACTCAAATATTTCTACTCAAACTGTAAACTAAATTTGTAGGAGAATAATATCAAACTGTTTATAATAGGGTACAAACTAAAGTTTGCTACTTCTAAATTAAAGCTAAAAGTAAATGCAAACTTTCTAAACTACAAATATGTAACGGAGTACAATTATAATAAAAAGTCTTTCCCCTTGCAAAGAAATTATAATCAGTGTAGGATTCAGATGGTTAAAAATGAAAATGAGGTATTGTGACAAATAAGAGCATACCTATTCTCTAACCTCTCCCGAGTGCATAAAGATTATTGGCTAATCTAAAGTTAAGTTCCTGATTGTTGGTAGTG